AATACGTTCGTGGAAGGAAAGGAAGTAAAGACGAGATTCCAGTTGTTCGTGTCAATAATTCGCAAATAATGGACGACAGAGAGAAAGCAAATGCTTTTAACGCATATTTTAGACCTGTTTTCAAGCAGAAACCCAACACTATTCAGATACCAACGCGGGCAGATGGAAGTATTTTTCATATTGACGTTGAATACTTTGCGGAAAATAATAAAATTAATGAAAAGATGAAAAGCACAAGGCGCAGATTGTATTACCACGGACACCAGTAAATTAGGTGGAGAGGCTATTCTACCATATTTAATTAGGTTATTTAATGTTTCTATAAACAACGCTTGCATACCGGAAGATTGGAACCTGGCTCTCGTAGCACCTATTTTTAAAAGTGGCGACAGGACAATACTTAGTAACTACAGACCGGGAAGCCATACATCAGTCGTGTGCAAACTTATGGAACAATTAATTTTTAGCTCTATCAGGAAAGAATGGCAAGGCAGAGAGTGGCTTTATCATGATCAACACGGTTTTAGGAATGGTTTCTCAAGCGAAGGTCAGCTAGTCTCACTGCTACAGGACCTAGCCGACGTAGTTGATGAAAGGAAAAGGGTCGACGCGATAATAGATTTTGCCAATGCTTTTGATATTGTTCCACACGATCGTCTTCGAAGAAATTAATAGATTCGGGTATAGTCACTAGAGTGGTAGCGTGGATAAACGAACTTCAGAACAGGAAACAGAAGGTTCGAATGGGAAGTTACTTATCAACCTCGAGAAACGTCACTTCAGGAATTCCACAAGAAGTGTCATCGGACCACTAATGTTTCTGGCCTTCGTGAATGAATTGCCGACAAATTTTGCTTCAAATGTACGACTCTTTGCAGATGACTGCGTAATTTATAGTATTGTCAACTCGGAGAAGGGCAAGGATATTTTGCAGCGAGACAGACAAATTACACATCTGGGCGGAAATAAACGGCATGGAAATAAGCAGTTCAAAGAGAAAGACCAATACGTTTGGTAGAGGTCGCAGGTATAATGAACCTGCCTACACGTTGTGTAATAATGTTATACATCGAGACATGTCTTGCAAATATTTAGGAATTCAGCTAGACAGTAAATTGAGCTGGGGAAATCAAGTCAATTTGGTTGTTGGAAAAGCCTGAAAAGCCTTTACATTTTGTAATGCGAATACTGAAAAAGAACTAGCAAATAAGTCATTTCTGCGAACCATATTAGAATATGGCGCGATATGTTGGGATCCATACAGAATGTTGCAGCAAAGGAATCTAAGAAAGGTTCAGCGTAGACCATCAAAATTTACTTTCAGGGGTACCATGAATAAAGAAGTATGGCAGTCACCCAAAAGGAGGAGATTAAAGTCGCGACTCTATTCTATGTATAAAGCATACACAGGCCTTCGAGCGTGGAAAGAAATACAAAGTCGATTAAGAAAACCTACATATTTCGGCAGAGCGGATCACATGCAGTAAATTAAGACAAGAATTCATAAAACGGACCATTCATTCGCGAATCTAACTATTGGATAGGGTAACGATTTTCCTGAGACAATCTTCGATCCCTTTCCTCAAAACCTAGGCAAATTTAAAAATAAATTAGTTTCCTAATTTTTTTATATGTGTGTTACAAATATCTTTAATATTATTCAGTATATCTATTTAATTAAGTATTATTATTATTATTATTATTATTATTATTAATTATGTGCGGTGCAGTGGCGTTGTGAAACTGAGGGGAAACGAGTGTGTAAGAAAGACATTACAGCTTCAGAGATCCGCAGTGCGGTGAAGAGAAGTGTAATGAAGTGGAGTGCTGCGAAAGACTGCACGGTGAAATGTTCACCTTAATTTGTAAAGTTTCTAAAGTTGTACGTTCTGTAATGTTAAATTACTGTATTCCTCCACCAATTTCTAAACTAAACTTCAGAATTACTAATAAATCTAATCTAATCTAATGCAAACCTATAATAACAAATTAGCACATTTTCTTCCGTATTCGTTATTAATCCTTAAGACTTAAGATGTTTGGAAATGTCAAGGAATTATAACTACGAATTCACCACCCATTATTCTTCATACATACATTCCGTTCCACAAATATACTCAGCATCTTGTAACTATTTCACCACAAAAAAGATTAGACTAAGCTACCCAAAAGTGAAAGCACCTTCGATTATTGAAAACACATATTCCCGGGAATATTGGTGTAAAAAAATTGTTATCTTAATGGCATTTACGTGTAATTCTTTGAGTTGTGAATATGGATGCTGTATACTATAGAGAAAGCTGAAGGGAATCGATGAATCAAAAAAAACGTTTACAACGCATCGATGGAAGAAATGGACGGGAATTCTTGGGTGTAGAGCCTCAATAGACATTTTCTGTAAGTTGTGCAACATTCTTCAGTTCCCATATGACCAAGTTAAGTATTGGTAATATCGAGGAGAGAAACCTCAAAAGAGTACTGGAACCATATTGCAAATACTCCTATGTACGGGGCTCCAGCACAAGCTAATTACAAGAAAGGTATACTTATGTATTCCTGTCCTGAAAATTCAATTAAATTCAATGTTGTCTCACTGTATCTGGCGATACGCAGACCGACAGCCAGGCTCTTTCGCCTGACCAATTGCACTTCAACACTCGGGCGACGAAATAGGCGATTAAAAATTTTCTTTTCTTTTAGGCTTGATCTTTTACATGCAATGAACTGTAACGTGGGACAGCTGGCTTTACTTCCCTTCCGACGGAAGCCATATGAAGGATTTTTTCGCCCTTTAAAATCTACGGCTTCGATCGAGTTTCAAGCCGAGTACAATGGGTAACCTTACCCTGAAACAATGTCAGGAAAGCGACACTATTATCATTGGGGGAGGGAGGAAAATTTATGAACGCTTCCTGGCCTAAATATGAATAATAATGTGAAACAAAAATGTTGCAATGTGCACAAGGATGTTTCAAATTGACAACGTTTGATGACAAAAATATTTATGTTGCAATGGCATTCACATATTTTGCCACATAGAGAACGAAATTATGGGCCAATTAGTAATAACAGATTATATATGAGAATATTTTATTTTACATTAAGGTCACTAAATATCTTTAAGAAATATTTTTTTAGGAAGCGCCTTCTATCGGAGAGAATCGTCTTCTGTATCTCGAAAAAGGCTCCACATCACCACATATTCTTAATTTAACACACTTGTGCTGAACACATTCTAAGCCATAAAATGCATTTTCTCGTTTGAGAAACATCTTTCCCGCACTATCATTTATCCCTACTGCATTTATGTAATTATATAACTATGTGTATACGATATTTCAACAAAGGTTTTTAGGAGACGTCAACTGGACTCATCAAGAAACATTATGCTGTGTACTAATTAATACATTTTACTAAAACTACGTTGTTATAGACAGACATTTTTGGCTCGTGGTCCCTACATCATAAATATACGGTAAAACTATATAAGACTGTGCTAAAATCTATAGTGATGTACACAGCAAAGTCTAGCTTTAATTAAAAAGTATATAAATTAACTAGGTGTCTTTGAGAGAAATATCTTGAAAAGAATCTTTGAGCCAGTGCAGGAGAATCTGACACATCAGAAAGATATGAGTTATACAATAGTAGCAATATTGTTAGAGAAATCTAACTAGCTAGACGAAGGTGGCTTGGCCATATCTGTCGCTTGCTGGAATCGACTAAGTAAAGAATCGACTTGTACGCGACCTGTCGGCGCCCGCAGTTGGAAGACCGCCCCTAAGATGGAGGAATGGTGCTGAGGAAGGCTTAAAACGCGTAGAAGTGAAAAACTGGAGGAGGGAAAGAGATAAACGGAACGAAATCCCAAAGAAGGCCCAACTTCACATATGGACTGAAGACGAAAAAGAAGAACAAGTCGAAGAAGCCATAAATTTATTTATTTTCGTCTTTTTCATTTTTTGACCACGGTCGCAGGTTATTCGATTGCTTTGTGAGGATATTTGTATTACTGCTGTGTTTTATCAACGAGGCCCCAATTTTGTTCGTATTAGGACGAAATGCGTGTGAAGCGAGGACTTGCTACCGAGGGTTTTCTGTAATCAATCGAAAGACGGGAATTCGAGGTCTTAGCGAGTGCTCGGTGCGCCACTTCAACACCTTTATAACTAGGGGGCGGATTTTGATGACCTAAAACATTGCCAAAAATGATCAATAAAATAGTGTTAAAATGGTTAAAAATGCCCTACAAAAAATGACGTAATCTTTTTATCAAAACCACTTCAGATGAACAATTTAAGCTGTTGGGTATGTTACTGATGTAATCGAGGTTTTTTCTTTTTTTTTTTCAAATGAACCCATTATGCAAACTTTGGGTTTGGACTGTTCTTTTAAAATATCTATCCCTTTATTTATCGCGAAATTGGCCGAAAATGGCGCCGATAAACGTCACAGGAACCTGAGATTACATACTCGCGCACCTATTCTTGAACGATGACCTTGACTCCCCCTCCTGGCACAATAAACAGTTGAAGGCAAAAGCTCGCAGTGAGCACTGATGACATTCCAAACACGTCTTCTCTGGGCGAAATAGAAACAATTTTCTTTTGAAAACGAGAACTTATGACCATGATTTTCTCCAAAAAAAATTTAAATAAATGGCCAAAGCAGGTGAAGATTTATCACAGGAAATACCTCGAACTCCTGAGAAAATTAGAACGCAAATTATTGAGAAAGTTGCGAAGGCATAACTGATTCTCCAGAGATTGGCATTGCTTTATAAAATCTAGGGACAAATTTCGCAACTAATAACCTCACCCGCATTTTTTCAATCAATCGTTCAAGAATAGTTACGCGAGTAATACTCACAACGCGTGACATTACAATATATAAGCGAAGAAATCGAACAGGCTACTCAGGAATTCTGTGGTGAACATTTGTTGCACCTCGTAAATATTGTTTGAAGCAAGTTCCATTAAAATCGATGAAATTCGCGAAAAATGCGAACATACAAGATTCTGCAGGCGCACTGACAGTTTTGTTGATGCTTTTAAAGTTAGAAATTACACTCGCGAATTTTTACAATCACTTACTTCACTTCACACCTGAGAGACTTTCGCGTACGCTTCACACAAAAATGACGTAAAAAAGTAAAAAATTACTTATCAGTCGCAATCGACGAAAAACGCAAAAACATTGGTAATTTCTTTCCTCATATCATCAAACGAATTTCTATACAGAACGGCATTGTCCTATAGTGAAAAGAAAAAAATGACATTCCATTAAAATCCGCCCCCTAATAAAAAAAAATTCTCTAGTAAAGCAAATCAGTGCAACTAATAAGATAGTGAGTAGTAAGTTACATTCAGAGTACTTGAGGTGGACGCCTTTATTGTTTGGCGACATGTCCGAAGAGTAGACGACGAAGAAGCAGAAGTAGAAGAAGGAGAAGAAGTAGAAGAAGGAGAAGACGACGAAGAAGAAGAAGAAAGGAGAGACGACGAAGAAGAAGAAGAAGAAGACGAACGAAACCAAGGAGAAGAAGGAAGCGACGAACAAGGGAAGAGAAGACGACGAACAAGTGAGAACGAAGAAGACGAAGAACAAGGAGAAGAAGAGACGCAGAACAAGGAGAAGAAGAAGACGAAGAACCCAAGGAGAGAAGGAAGACGAAGAACAAGGAGAAGAAGAAGACGAAGAACAACGGAGAAGAAGAAGACGAAGGGGAACAAGGAGAAGAAGAAGACGAAGAACAAGAGAGAAGAGACGAAGAACAAGGAGAAGAAGAGAGACCCGAACCAAGGAGAAAGGGAAGAACGAAGAAACAAGGAGAAGAAAAGAAGACGAAGAACAAGGAGAAGAAGAAGACTTAAGACAAGGAGAAGAAGAAAGACGAAGAACAGAGAAGAAGAAGACAAGAACAAGGAGAAGAAGAGACCGAAAGAAACAAGGACGGGAAAGGAGAAAGAAGGAGGGGGGTGGGGGAAGAAGGGGTAGGTGGGCGAGGGGGCGGTGCGGGGAGACGAAGAAGAAGAGGAGAAGAAGAAGCACGAAGACAAGGAGAAAGAAAGAAAGACGAAGAACAAGGAGAAGAAGAAGACGAAGAACAAGGAGAAGAAGAAGGACGAAGAACCAAGGGAGAAGAAGAAAGACGAAAGAACAAGGCAGAAGAAGAAGACGTAAGAACAAGGAGAGAAGAAGACGAAAGAACAAGGAGAAGAAGAAGACGAAAGAACAAGGAGAGAAGAAGGACGAGAAACAAGGAGAAGAAGAAGACGGAAGAACAAGAGAGAAGAAGAAGACGAGAACAAAGGCAGAAGAAGAAGACGAAGAACAAGGAGAAGAAGAAGACGAAGAACAAGGAAAAAGAAGACGAAGAACAAGGAGAGAAGAAAAGACGAAGAACAAGGGATGAAAGAAGAAAGACGAAGAACAAGGAGAAGAAGAAGACGAAAGAACAAGGAGAAGAAGGAAGACGAAAGAACAAGGAGAAGAAGAAGACGAAGAACAAGGGAGAAGAAGAAGCACGAAGAACAGAGAAGAAGTAGACGATCAAGATAGGACGAGAAGAACAAGGAGAAGAAGAAGACGAAGAAACAGGAGAAGAAGAAGGACGAAGAACAAAGGAGAGGAAGAAGACGTAAGGAACAAGGAGAAAGAAGGAAGACGAAGAACAAGGAGAAGAAAAAAGACGAAGACAAGGGAGAAGAAGAAGACGAAGAACAAGCGAGAAGAGAAGACCGAAGAACAAGGAGAAGAAGAAACGAAGAACAAGGAGAAGAAGGAAGACGAAGAACAAGGAGAAGAAGAAAGACGAAGAAACAATGAGAAGAGAAGACAAGAACAAGGAGAATAAGAAAGACGAACAAGGAGAAGAAGAGACGAACAAGGAGAAGAAGAGACGAACAAGGAGAAGAAGAAGACGAACAAGGAGAAGCAAGAAGACGAACAAGGAGAAGAAGAAGACGGACAAGGAGCAAGAAGAAGACGAACAAAGGAGAGAAGAGACGAAGACGAACAAGGCGAGAAGAAGACGAGACGAACAAGGAGAAGAAGACGAAGACGAACAAGGAGAAGAAGACGAAGACTAAGGAAGGAGAAGAAGACGTAAGACGAAGAAGGAGAAGAAGACGAAGACGAAGAAGGAGAGAGACCGAAGACGAAGAGGGAGAAGAAGCGAAAGACGAAGAAGGCGAAGAAGGAGAAGAAGACGAAGAAGGAGAAGAAGACGAAGAAGGAGAAGAAGCAGAGGTAGAGGCAAGCGAGCGCGCCGCTGGAGTACCTGGTGGCGTGGCCGAAGGGCGGGGCGGGCGCGGGGCCGCGCTCCCGCTCCCGCTCCCGCTTCCGGAACAGCGACAGCTTCCACCAGGCGCTCATCGCCGGCGCCGCGCGCTCGCCTGCATGCTGCGCTCCGCCTCCGCGCACCGAGGACACCGGCAGTTGCAGGCGGCCCCTCCGCGATAAGCTATCACTCCAATCTCTGCGGGCGGCGACGCGCTTATGCAAATGTACGTGCGAGCGCCGCGAGTCGGCGTCCTCGTGGACGGCGCAGGCTGGAATCCTCCCTGCTCGATTGGCTTTTCGCACTGCGGGAAGACCACAGCGGACGGGCTGAGATGCTCGGACCTTTGCAATTCAGACACCTCACTGCAACACCGGCGCCCGCTCCTCTTGTCTATGTGGCCTAAGATTTTGCAGGCGCACTGACAGTTTTGTTGATGCTTTTAAAGTTAGAAACTACACTCGCGGATTTTTACAATCACTTACTTCACTTCACACCTGAGTGAATTTCGCGTACGCTTCACACCTGAATGACTTTCACTTGGCAACTCGCAACGAACGAGTAAAATGGAGAATTGGACACACATCAGTTTAGATCCTCACTACTGCACATTTCTTTTTATTCATACGTTGAACCAACACATTAATAAAACTCTCATTTTCTCTGTTCTCCAACCCACTCTCGGGTTATTACACTCAAACGAACCCTTATTTCAGTCATTTCCATCGCAGAATCACATCTTCTTGACACGTGTCTGGCATCTTCTGGAGAGACGACGCTCCGAGAGCATTTCTGTTGCGTTTGCAGCGCCTCCACAGCCATCAGTGGCGCTGGCGCCGGCGGCTGCTGGCGGCTGCGGGGCCTACGGACAGACGCACAGGCCGGTGAGCCGCCGCCCCCGCCAGCCTCTGCGCCGCGCACTCGCATTGGGGGCGGGACGGGCGTGGGACGGGGGGGGGCGATTCGTTCGTTCATTGCTAGTGACTCCGGACGCGTCAACAGAGAAGGTCGTTAGTTCCGTAGGTGTAATGCATGGTTTCTTCACGGGAGGTAATCTTCCCTTACTAGATGGCGAGATTCGAGGCCGACCTACCGGCCGGTAGCGGGGTTTCCCCCAACCAGGTATCTCCCACCAGCGGGTCACCGCCCCAGCCGGGACACGCTCTCAGCTCCCCACCGGCCTCCCTACATGTGTGGTAATGTAGTGCATGTTAGTACGGGTGCATACACGTCGGCTAACTTGTGTTGGAGCTAAGTACTCATGGGTTTTGCCATTCAAGATTGGTACCACACAGCAAGACAACTACGATCATTTTAAACCTCCAATTTAAACAAATACGTCGACTCCGGTTATCGTGAACTCGAATATAGTGAACCCTCGTTTATACTGAACTTAAGTCATTGGTCACAAGATTCGGTGATAGCGAACCTGAACCTTGGCTATAGTAAACGTAGTGAATACAATGTCCTGGAAATTAATTCCCTCTGGGAAAACAATATATTGCCTCAGTGCCATAAGGTACAACACAAGGCAGCTTGAAAAAATAAATTAAGGGTCAGAAGCCAAGATGTCTCCACTGAAAGGTTTGCGAACGAAGGTGACGTTCGCGGAATGAGGGCCTTATTGATGACCTTATCCCTCCCTGTTTCACTGGAGGGGAAAGGCTGTGTCTTGCGTGCGTTAAACGGGCGGCGGCGATGCGCTATTCAGTGCTGCAGATTCAAGCTTGATATTCCGTCGGAGGACGCGCGTTGAGTTCTACGTAGGCGACAGTAAGCACGTGACTGCCGCCCTGGCGATATTCGCCGAGCCGCGCGGGAAAAAAATCAGTTTCATTGGCCGCTTGCACCATCCTGGTGCCGAAAGGGTATCTTACGTTATCAAGCGACTATAAGGACCTTCGAGAGCAAGACCGTGTTCCAACAGTGCAAAAGGCATTGAAGGGCCAAGTCTGCATTACTATATTTAGAGAACGAGGACAATGCAAAATTGAGTATGGAGAGAGCACAAACTCTAGAGAAGGATCTAGAAAAATTACTAATGAAAAATGTAAAAAGGAAACATTTGAAAATAATTGATTTTTAAGAACAGATAAAGATATTGAATTTTTTAGTTCCTGCTGTTAATTTTTCTGTATCACTATATTAATAAAATCAATTTTTATGGGAAAATTCTAATTAATTTTTGTTTTGAAATAAAGTTTTAAAAATTATTCAGTGATAATAAGACTGCCTTTCTTGATGTTTTTTAGAATTTATTTGAAGGCCACTTACTAGCGTCTTACTTCGAAGGTCGATTGAGTCACTTACTAGCATCATTCTTTGATTCAGAGTCGGTGAATATGGATGAAAACTGTGTTACCCTTATTACCATGAGCTCTTCGATATTCGGCGAATTCGGCTCTCCAGACACTTCGAAATTCGTCGTGTTTGGCCTGACTTTGAATATCTCTATCAAATAATTCATATTAATATTCGCACATTTTTTCGACATGATTTGTTTCCGTTCTTACAATGTTACAATTTAGTGACGATATTGGAACAAACCAAATCACTTCTGAAAACTATTTTTAACCTCCAAATGAACGCGCTCAAATTGCAACTCTGGAAAATAACAGCTGGTGGTCGCATCGGCAGGCAGGTGGATAAATATTTTCGCAGAGTGATGCTCAACTGTTTTAGAACCTGTCAAGATAATCGTCCTCTGGCCTAAACGAAGCATTGCTCAAGTATTCCATTTTTTGTCTTTCCTTCTTTTTTCACAAAATGTTTCTACAATATTATTTCTACTCCCATTGTATAATTGTGTGATTTGATGGCTGCAACCCGTTCCATAATGATGCATTAAGATATAGATTTTATTATGACACAAGTTCGCCAACAATCACAGAGAAGTTTCTAACCAAGTACTGACACGTCATTCATCAGAATCAATCATTCAGAATAGTTCTAGTAATTATTTTGTTTGATTGTGTAGATTAAAATTACATTTAATATTATACTATGCTTGTCAATTTTAATTTCTTTTATTATTAGTATTTATTTCGTGGAATATTGTTTAATATAAATTAGATCGTAATTGCCTTTGAATCCTTTTCGACTAGGCAGTACTTTCTCGCAGGCGGACTGATAACCAAAGTCGCCTACGGTAGGGTAGGGAGGAGCTGTCTGGTAGGTGGACTTGGCTGAATCCTGCATGACAACTGCAACGAAATGAATGAGTTTATTAAAGTTACCATAAGTCGTATAAGAGTTCTGTAAGAAACTCGATGTAATGGATATTAATACACACGTTCGCATCGTAATATCACAGTCGTGTATCAATACTTATTGTCACATCACCGTTTTTTAATCTACTCTTTTGATAAGTCTATGAATTGTAATTATTTTCATCGCAACTCGGACGAAAACATCGATTTGAGAACATCCAAAAGAGAAGGGAGAAAGCGGCGGCGGAGGGGCGTAATGAAGCCGTGAGTCACGCGTGCGTCGGAGCACGTGCGCTGCTTTATCCGCGTGCGTTCATGCGCACTGCAGCCCCGCCCCCTCCCCCCCCCCTCGGCACTACACCCTCGCGAACCAGGCGTGTCCCACCGCGCCTGCCTGTCTGCCGCGCCGTTTCCTTCAGCCGGTGTTTCGGAGGGAGTGGACTGATTGAGGGGTAGAGGGCGCTGCAACTCGCGAGCTCTCCCCGAGGCAAGGAGGGTTGGATTTGGCCCCAGCGGCGGCGGCAGCCGATCTGGGCGCGCAGCCCGCCGACGCTCCTAACATGGGCTCAGCGCCGACAAGACGAGGTTCCCGGTGTATGTTAACACAGGTCGAGAACAACACTCTTTTCTTTAGAGCACGGCACCGTTATCGACAGGCAACACACAATGCATCAACTTTCATTACTTCTCAAGAAACACTCCACAGAATCGCATAGTTTTGTACAAACCAACCTTTGGTCGCACATATTTTGTCTTACGTTATGAATGTTAACAGAAATTGTGAGCCGAGAATTATTGGGTTGATATCGCTAAGTGACCAAGTTTACGTTCACAACCACTGATATTTGTAGTTCGTGTTTATGTTACTTCACAAGTTGATGCCCACAGTCTAATTTAACATTTGCATTGGGGGGTGGCCCTTCACTGGAGATGCAATAGCAGGACTCATGCTTTTTCTAGCCATTAGTCATAAAAAAACCTTTTCACTTCGTTTCATATGGGCAAATCAATTACCCGATAAATGGTCGCAAAAGTTACCTACAATTACCATCCAAATCTCGCACAATACACGATCATTTTTAAACATATTCCAAAAAGTCTTTGCGTTATCTACAACATTCGGATATCGCGTTTAGAATATCTTCGGTTACCATGTTTGCAACGAGGCAGCAGTATCAGAAGCTTCAAAATTACATAAAATGAACTAGAAACCAAACTAACGGAATGAATACATTGGGTCCGATTCATAAGTTAAGCTTCGTTTACAGTGCGTTATATATTACACACTATACTGTTTTTTAAATTAAATTTGTCACGTCTGTCTACAGAAGCGAAGCTATAAAACACAAATGAAGATAATTTTTGATGAATTTCGAATCTTCTCTCCTTAATTTTTTTTACAAATACAAACAAGGAAAAAAGGGGGAAAAGGAAAATATAAAATATACGAGTTAGACTACGTTTAACTCAAAGTTGTACTTTCGCTTTCAAATTATCCCTGACATTAGAAAATTAAAGAATAAATTATATTTTCTGCCTTCCCCCATCACATATAGGATCCATCATTCATGGACATTTACCCCACCTTACGGTTTGTGAAGTCTTGCTTACTGATGATACGAAAAAACGCGTTTGTTACGACCAGCGGTGCGACCCTTACATTCATCCAGGGAAACTACTTTAGTCTCCATCCTTTCATATAATGCACGCGCTTGACTCCGTCGTCGTTCAGACCAGGGCTGTCCAACTGGCGGACCCCGGGCCTCATGCCGCCTGCAGTGCCATTGCATCGAAGTCAGAAAGGAACATTCTGTGCCTAGTGCATACGCCTTGTCGAGGTCAACACCCCTTCAATGACAAAGGTTAGGTTAACATTTAAATTTTTCTAGTAAATTCAGAAATTCAAAATTACCCCAATGTGTTTCACTGCATCCTGAAATCACGCATGACTCCATACCCTTCCCCGTTTGAGAGCAACTGGGCGAACTGACGAGATCAACGATACGGGGAAGTGAGATGTGTAGTATCAACCGAATAAAGTAAATACAGCCCGCTACCAACCTCAAGGTTTTAGTTGTGGCACTTGAGCTCTTGCAAGTTGGACACCCCTGCTTTGGACCATGTGCCTTCGCAGATGTCATTACATCCCGGTCGGTTTATTAACGCACTGAATGATCAATGAGGCAAAGAAGAATCCAGGACAAAGCAAAGCCAGTAGGAACACGATTTCCGGGATCATCGAAATACTCCCGTCTCGTGCGGTTTTGTTGATGCATTCTTCTCTCCAAAAAATTGAAATCAAACTAAATATTTGTGTATTTGGAAAGTATCTCAAGCACCCCTCTCCAGAAGCCAATGATACTTATTAAAATACACAGCTTTCATTAATTTGCTGAATAAATGAAAGTCATTCAATGTGTTGTGTGTGTCATAAATAAGTTAAACACTTGCCACCAATACAGACACTATTATTATTATTATTATTATTATTATTATTATTATTATTATTATTATTATTATTATTGTCCTCGTTTATGACTAAAAATGTTATGAGTCAGTTGAATATAAAATATACTCCAGACTTATCAAAGAAGCAGATCTAGGGACTGTCGGTGCCTCTACAATACTTCGCGCAAATTATGAGCTGTTCCAA